ATACAATATTCTTATAGTTCATCAGCAAAACAAATTTTCAACATATACTCAAACATCAACGACTAGGTCCAGATATTTCTCTCGGACCTCTAATTCACGTTCCCAAGTTGCTTCCTCAACCCCGTGATGTTTCCACTTTACTTTGACCAAGGGAATCGTCTTGCGTTGCAAGACTTGGTCCCGTCTATCCAAGACTTGCACCGGTCTCTCCTCATACGAGGCATCCTCATCTACCTCTAAGTCAGTCCAATCCAACGCATGCGATGGATCCGGCTCATGCTTCCGAAGCATGTTAACATGAAACACGTCATGCACTCCGAAAAGTTGTGGCGGTAACGCCAAACGATATGCAACCTCCCCAATCCGCTTAAGGATCTCAAAAGGGCCAATAAACCGAGGGGATAACTTCTCACTCTTCTCAAACCTCATCAAACTCTGTTTAGGTGATATTTTCAAAAAGACATGATCACCCACCTCAAATGACAAAGGTTTCCTCCTACGGTCGACATAACTCTTTTGGCGACTCTGGACTATAACCAACCTCTTACGAATAAGTGCCACTTTCTCCGTCGTTTCCCGAACCAACTCTGGACCCAACAAAGGTGCATCACTCACCTCAGCCCAACACACTGGAGATCTACACGGTCGGCCATACAAGGCCTCAAATGGTGCCATACCAATACTCGATTGGAAACTGTTATTGTAGGCAAACTCCACTAAGGATAGGTGTCTCTCCCACGACCCCTTAAAGTCAAGGACATAACCTCGAAGCATATCTTCAATTAGCTGAATAGTACATTCAGACTTCCTGTCAGTCTGAGGATGGTAAGTTGTGCTAAAGGTTAACCTAGTGCCCAAGGCACTCTGCAAACTCTACCACAATCGGGCAGTGAAATGCGGATCTCTATTTGAGACAATCGATACTGGGACCCCGTGCAACCTTACTATGTCCCGAATATACAAGACAGCAAGGTAATCTACCAAATCTCTCACGAGCATAGGAATAAAGTGCGCTGACTTAGTCAACCGGTCCACTACCACCCAAATGGCGTCACTACCCCGTTGAGTCTTCAGAAGACCCATAACAAAATCCATCGTGACATGCTCCCATTTCCACTCAGCTATAGGCAAGGGTTGCAACAAACCCGCTGGCCTTTGATGTTCAGCCTTCACTTACTGACAAGTAAAGCACCTCGATACAAACACTGCCACATCCTTCTTTATACCCTTCCACCAAAACTGGCGACTCGGATCATGATACATCTTTGTGCCTCCCGGATGCACCGCAAGGTGTGAATGGTGAAACTCTCGGAATACTTCCTCTCAGCAAAACTTCGGCACAAACAAGCGGTCTCGATATCTCACACTCAGGTCGGGGTCCACAGGCAAACCCTTCTCCACCTTCCTACTGGAGATCTTCTCCCGGAGGGATTCTACCTCAAAGTCACCCTTCTGTGTCTCTAACACTCGGTTCACAAGTGTAGGTTATGCAACTACAAAAAACAAGGCCTCAGATTCAACAGACTCGCTCAGATCCAAGTCAAACTCACCAAGATCACCCAATATCTCCCATTCCTGGATAGCAATACAAGCTACACTACTGATGGATTTCCTACTTAGGGCATCGGCCACAACATTGGCCTTCCTCGGATGATAATGCAACTCGAAGTCATAATCCTCTATGAACTCCATCCACCTTCTCTGCCTCAAATTTAAGTCCTTCTGTGTAAACAGATACTTCAGACTCTTATGATCAGAAAACACCTCAAATCTCTCACCATATAGATAGTGCCTCCAAATCTTCAAGGCAAAAATTATAGCTGCTAATTCTAGGTCATGAGTAGGGTAGTTCCTCTCCTATGTTTTCAACTTACGTGAGCCATAGGCTACTACTTTCCCTCCTTGCATCAATACACAACTGTAGACACCCCTCTAAGTCAAACTCACCAAGAGCACCCAATATCTCCCATTCCTGGATAGCAATACAAGCTACACTATTGATGGATTTCCTACTTAGGGCATCGGCCACAACATTGGCCTTCCCCGGATGATAATGCAACTCGAAGTCATAATCCTCTATGAACTCCATCCACCTTCTCTGCCTCAAATTTAAGTCCTTCTGTGTAAACAGATACTTCAAACTCTTATGATCAGAAAACACCTCAAATCTCTCACCATACAGATAGTGCCTTCAAATCTTCAAGGCAAAAATTACAGCTGCTAATTCTAGGTCATGAGTAGGGTAGTTCCTCTCATGTGTTTTCAACTTACGTGAGCCATAGGCTACTACTTTCCCTCCTTGCATCAATACACAACTTAGACCCTCTCATGAGGCATCACAATAAACTAATTAGCCCAAACCCCTCTCTGAAATAATCAAGACTAGAGCTGTGGTAAGTCTAACCTTAAGCTCTTGGAACGACTTTTCATAAGTCTCACTCCACACAAATTTGACCCTTTTCCACTTCAATCTAGTCAAAGACGAAGCTAGTCTGGAGAAATCTTTTATAAACCGTCGGTAATACCCGGCCAATCCCAGAAAACTACGGATCTCAAAGGCATTCTTAGGCTGTGCCCAATCTTGCACTGCCTCAATTTTAGATGAATCTACAGTCACCCCTTCCCCGGAAACCACATGGCCTAAGAATTTAACCTCCCTTTACCAGAACTCACATTTCCCAAACTTAGCGTACAGTTTATGGGCTCTAAGCAACTCAAGCACCACTCGCAAGTGTTCCTCATGCTCCTCCTCAGAAGGTGAATAAATCAGAATATCGTCCACAAAGACGACTACGAAGCGATCTAAGAACTCCAGGAAAATCCGGTTCATCGGGTCCATAAACACAGCTGGGGCATTGGTTAGCCCAAAAGGCATCACCAGAAACTCATAATGGCCATACACGCGTATGGAATGCCGTCTTTAGGATATCTTCCTCCCTGACTCTCAACTGATGGTAGCCTGATCTTAAATCTATCTTAGAAAAACAATTGGATCCTTTCAACTGATCAAATAGATCATCTATACGAGGCATAACATACTTATTCTTAACTGTAACCCGGTTCAACTTTCAGTAATCAATGCCAAGTCTCAAGGCCCCATCTTTCTTTTTAGCAAAAAGGGTCGGTGCTCTCCAAGGCGAAGTACTAAGGTGAATAAAATCCTTATCTAACAATTCCTGGAGTTGAACCTTTAGTTCACTCAACTCAGGTAGGGCAAAATGATACGGTGCCATGGACATCGGTGCCGTGCCAAGCACTAAGTCAATAGAGAACTCGATCTCTTGATGAGGTGGTAAACTAACAAGATCCTCGGGAAAGACGTCTGAGTACTCACAAACCACTTTTGGCAACTCAACCTAGGTTTCATCACACTCACTACTCATAAAACTAGCGAGAAGACAACTAAGCTCACTCCGCCCACGCGGATCATACACCGGTGGTAAAACTCTACCAACCCGATCTCCCAAAAAATGAAAACAATCGCCGTTCAAGGTACATACAGTAACCCTCTGACAGTAGCAATCTATAACAGCCCGGTATGACAATAACCAGTCCATACCCAAGATTACATCAAACCCAAGCATATCTATCAACACAAAACAAAATGGAAGCCGACGATCGGCGACCTCTATATCATAGCCCCGACACCCCTGCTTTAAAATCAACTCACCCCTAATAGGTGACACAACACAAATAAGAGATGCTAACTGTGCCAACTCCAAGCCCAAAATAGATGCAAATGCAGAAGATATAAAAGAATGGGATGCACCCGTATCAATTAACACATTAGCAACTAGTTGCAAACAAAAAGGTACCTCTTACTACTAATGAAGCCGATACAAGATCCGGCGCTGTAACAGCATACACGCGCCCTGTAGGTCTCTGATCTACCTGCTCGCCTCTCAGAGCATAAGATTGCTGTACTGACTGAGCCGAAGACGCTCCTTGATTGGCCCTTGAGGCCTGCAATGACTGCGCTGGCTGGTGACTCTATGTCTGCCTCGAACCAGACGCACCAAGTGTGCCACCCAACTGTGGGCAAAACCTTTTTAGGTGCCCCACCTTCCCACACTGATAACAAGTAAGAGGCTGGCCTCTGCCCAGACTCTAGCCCTGAGAAAGAGCTGAAGATGAAGCTACTTACTGCCCTCTTCCCCTCTGTGGGCAACCTGGAGACTTGTGGCCCAACTGACCACATTTGTAACAAGTGATGTCTCCCTGACCACCTCTCCCAAAACCCGAACTCAGCATTGGAAAGGTGGACCTCGAATGCACTCCCTAGGACTGCTGAGGGTTAGAACCCCTTTACCTCTTACCATCCCCCTGGCCATCCTGACTCCCCTTGAAGCCCTTTATCCTCTCCTCCTCTGCATGCATAATAGTCTCAAGATGGGTAGCTGCCTCCACAAGGCGCCCATAGTCCCTAATCATGGACCCAGCAACTCTGAACATGAGTCCAGTCCTCAATTTCTTCTCGAACTCCAGACAATGGCGTTCCTCAGTTGCCACTAATTCCGGTGCAAACCTAGACAAGCTAGTAAAGGTGGCCTCAAACTCAACCATTGGTGTGTTCAACTGTTTGAGCTGAGAAAACTGATCCCTCAACTTCTCCTTCACTGTAGCAGGCAAGAACTTGTCCTGGAAAGCTTCAACAAAAGCCTCACAAGTCCCTTCAATGCACCCCCGCGCATACTTCTACCACTGACCTGTGTCTCCCTTCAGCTGGAAGGACGCCAAGGTCACCACAAGCCCCCGTCTTTGATGCCAAGCATTTCAAACGTCTTTGTCATCTGCTCAAGCCACTCATCGGCCTTCAGTGGCTCCTTGGGATCACCCAAAAATTTATCCGGATTCGACCGGAAGAACTCCCTCTTCAGAAAAGACGGACCTGCCTCAGCTACTTGGGTCTGGACTTGATTCTCAGCTCTGAGAATGTCCATAGATTCCCTCAATGCTCCGGCCATTTCACGTGCTCAGGCACCCATGGCCTGCTGACAAACCGGTTCAACCACATTGGCCTGACCCACTCCTTCCTTCTGCGCCAGAATTGCACCCAGTATAGTCATCTCCTGCCTCCTAGGCCTACCACGCCTCCCACCACGACCTTGTCCTGATATCCTAATAAAGGTAACAAAGAAATTAGTACATTCACAAATGTGTCGAAGCTATCTCACTTGCATCCTAATACAATGGACAACCGTAATTCACTTCACGTAAGCACATAATCACATAAACACAGACGAATTTTGTCTCCAGATACTGAGCGTTCCGTGGTGTTACAAGAGTTCCAGTTACAAACGGCAGTGATCAAGTGCCTTTCCAACAGGACTCCCAGAAACCCATAGACCCGATCAACATCCTAGAAACTAAATTCCATACCCATATAGTCACATAAACATGTTATCACATAAGTACATAACATCATACATAAGTCTCTAACAAGCGAGACAAACCCATTCTGGTACTAACCACTTCCCACGTACCCAAAGTATTCAAACCCGGTACGCTTTGATACCAAGTTGTAACGCCATCAAAATACAATATAAGTAAATTATTCATAAGATCCTTCAATATAAAAGAGATTTTATATTTTCATTCATTAGAGTCTTCTTTACAAAAATATTACAGATAAGCAACAAAACAAATTCCCTACGAACTTACAGCTTTCCAAGTCAACACTTGGTTACAACGAAAGAAGAGTTCTAACACTATTACATGTAAAGCCCTTTGCTTGAATTTACATTAAACACAAACAAAATATGTAAAAAGAAGCCTTCGACCGCTAGACCTCCCAAGCTACGTCCTTGGAGGCGGCACGTCGTCTAAATCTGAAAATGGTGTCCCAAGTAGGATAAGCCAAAGCCTAGTAGAGATATGCTAAACAATATATGAGAATCAACTAAAACATGAGCATCAGATAAAGGTCCAACATTCTTAACCGATATATATATTCTTTTCAAGATCAGTTAATATAGATAGCCAATACGTCATTTCATTTATTTTTTTCCTATGCTGGGTAAATCAACTTATCAAGTTCATTATTATCAAAACAACCAATTTGAGACTACAACTCAATGGTTTACAATTCAACACATTCATCACTTCAACACTTCAATATCTTGCCATTTTATAGAACCACGTCCGAGGGAACCGGCACCCATACATATATAAAAGATTTCAGGACTTTCACCCTAGACACTCCGGCCAACTTAATTATCAATGGCGTCCATCCCCTATCTCCTCCCACACAATGGAGTACATCCTCTATCTCCTCCCAAACAAAGATACATATACAATGTATTTAAGCACCTTGTCATACACAATGACCAAATAAATCACATATTCAATGGTTTAATCCAATCGTCATATTCAATGACACAATCCAATTGATTAGTTTTAATTTGCCTATTCATCATGCATTTTCTACAACAATCATATCTATCTTCCACCGATAGCCCAAAACAGATATTTATCAACTTTTCCATAGGTGAGTGACTTATTAATCCAACTATTAATCCAACTACACCATTTAATCACATGTTCCTTCAGTTCCATAATTTCTAAGCCAATTTTGTTAATTACACAACTAGTTGTTTAAACTCAATTTAGGGCAATTTTTCCCCAATTCCAAGACATTGACCCGAAGGTCTAAATCTTACCATTTCAACAATTATACATCAATAACCCCATTTTTAAGACCTTACATACACATATAGAGCCCAAATAGAAAACCCCTCTTTCACAAATTCAAACTAAAACCCTAAATTTCACCCAAACTTCCCAAATCCCACCATTTATACAAAATGACAAATATCTAGGTCAAAACTCATATTAAAGAGTAGATTATCCCTACCTCAATTGTAGAAGCTCAAAGGAGAAGAAGAGAGAAATCCAAAGATACTCCAAATCCCACCTTTTTCGGATCAAAAGGAAGCCCATGCAATGCTCAAGCTTTTTAACAAAAGAGAGTGAGATAGAATGTCCCTAGAACATGGAGTATTTGTAGAGTGAAGGAGTATTTTAGAGAGCGGAGCTGCTGGTCTAGGATTTTGAAGAAGGAAGAAAGTTAAAAATAGTGTATTTCATCTCTGCTGCAAACTGATATATGCCAGGCTCGCTCGAGCGAAAGACTTGTCACTCGAGTGATCAGACATAACAAGAGACCTCGCTCGAGCGCAAGAAGCGTCACTCCAGCGCACAATGCAAAGCTTCAGGTCTGCTGCAAACATAGACGCACGCTTGAGCGCAAGAGTTCTCGCTTGAGCGAAGGAACAAATAACAGGGGGCTCGCTCGAGCGAAAGCTGCGTCTAAGAAAGAAACCTAAAGACCCTTAATCCTCGCTCGAGCGTAAAAACCCTCGCTCGAGCGAAGAAGCAAATACCCAAGGCTCGCTCGAGCGAAGAAGCCAAAACCTGGGCAGCAACTATTTGAATCAACTCACAATCAACCTGTTCCAAACTCACCCAACACGTTCCAAAACTCAAATACAAAAAGTAAAAGGAAGGAAACAAAATAGAGACAACAATATACAACCACGAAACCCTAGTTCGGTACACAACAAGGTCGGGGTAAAACCTGAATCGCTATAGGATCAAATTGAGACAAAATCATAAATTTAGGTCAAAATTGGGCGAATTAAAATTGTAAGGACAAAAATAACACAAGAGTTAAAATATAGGGATTACCAATGTAATTTATCCTTTTAAGAATAAGTACATAATTTCTTAATTAATTTTGAAATTGTTAATAAATATACCAAACAAATATGTACATATTTCATATTTTTGTTATAAATTTTTTTTAAAATATATTTATTAATTAAAAATTAAATAAATAGACAGGTCTACTAACTCATGGATTGGACATGAACTAAACGATTCTCTAAGGACTAGATGTAAATCAAGATTTAGTAGCAAAAAAAATCGACTTGAACTAAATTTTCTTAGTTATTTTTTAGCATTTAATCTAATATTAGAACCCCCAAATTAGCTCATATCAGTCACGAATTGATAAACAATGATATAATTTAAATATAAAATTTAAGTTTATTAGGACTAGTATATGACCTACAATTTAGGGTGGCTTTATCTTAAATAGTAATTTTTTTTTATAGATAAATATATATAACTATTCATTTGATTGTTTTAAACATAAATATATAGTTTTTTCTTTTAAAACTATAGTTCAAACTTTTTAATAACTATGCATAAAATAAGTCCATATTTCTTATTTTTATTATAAAAAAATATTTACAAATATTTATTTACTGATTTAATAAATAGATAGGTCAAATGATTCATGTGAATTGGGAATAGAACAAAACACTTTTTAATGATTAGGTGAAGGACAAGTTGGTGTAAATTTAATATTTAGCCTCCAAATTTAATATCACAAGTAAATCCTAATTCATTTTTACCTAAATCTTATAATATAAGACAAATTATAATTTTTAGACTTCACAAAACATGAAAAAATTACTATATTGACAAATGCAATTTACTACTATCATATGATAAAGGAAATTTATGAAATTCATCAGAAGAAATGTATTTATATTTTGTCATAAATATAATTTCTATGATTTATTTTTAAATTTTTACCACTTAAATTATGACATATATTTGTTGTTAAGAACTTAGAGCACACAATTAATGACATAAGAATTTAAAAAAAAAAATTCTTATATGTAACTGTGATAAAAACGAATTAAATTTAATGAATTTTAAATTATTTTTGCTAAATATTGTAGATAAATTTTTTAGATTATTATTTAATTTTAAAAATTAATTTTTGAATATTTATTTATACTTGTGCGTAGCACGGGTAATTATGTTAGTATCTATCTATACTATATATATAACCAAATGTATTTGTTTTTGTCAAAAGCTCAAATATTTATTCCTCAATTCTCATAATTTAAAACTCTCTTTCCTACATAGATACCTTCTTTGATTGCCTTTCATGTTTTCTATTCTTTTTTTCATTTTTCTATTTATTTGATTAATTAAAATTAAAATTAATTTGATTGCTTATGGATAAAGATTTGAATTTCAAAATTCCTCCATATAGATAAACATATAAAAACTGAAAATTAATTTTGTAGTCTACAGATAAAGATAAAAATTAAACAATTAATTTTAAAAAATTAATTTCATAACTTATGGATAATTTAAAATTTCTTCCAATAAATAAACACATAAAAGTTGATAAATAACTTATAAAAATTAATTTCATAGCCTACAAATAAAGATAAAGAGTAAATAATTGATTTTAAAAAAAAAAACGAAATTACTCCTTTCCCCCCTCCCCCTTCATTTTGTACTTTAATAAATTTCATTATAGATAAACATATAAAAATTCATAAATAATTTATGAAAATTTATTTCATGACCTATAGATAAAGATTAACAGATAAAAACTGAAAATTAATTTTATAGTCTGCAGATGAAGATAAAAATTAAACAATTAATTTCATAACATATAGATAATTTAAAATTTCTTCCTATAAATAAACATATAAAAGTTGATAAATAACTTATAAAAATTAATTTCATGGCCCACAAATAAAGATAAAGATTAAATAATTGATTTTAAGTTCATGATAGATATACATATAAAAATTCATAAATAATTTATGAAAATTTATTTCATGACCTATAGATATAGATAAAAATTAAAAAAAATATTTAAAAAAATTAATTTCTTGACTTATAGATAAATAAACATATAAAAATGTTAAATAATTTATAATGATTAATTTTGTGGCCTATAGATAAAGATAAAGATTAAATAATTAATTTACAAAAAATTAAAATAATAAAATTTAGATAAAGATATGATTTGTTAATCTATATATCTATCAAAAACACATATATCTAAATCTTTATTTTGATTTTCTCATTTTTTTTTTCTCCTTCTATCACATATTATCTTTTTTTATTTTAAATTTTTTTATCTTATGAAATGCCCTTATCTATAATATAGCGATTCCGGTTTTAACTCGACCTTTATTATATTCCGGACTCGGGTTCCATGGTTGAATATAGTATCCATGTCTTGTTTTCTTTCTTTAACTCTTTGAATTTGAGCTTTGGAATATATTGGGCGTGTTTGGAAT